ATAAATAAAAAAAAAAAAAAAAAAAAAAAAAAAAAAAAAAAAAAAAAAAACGAGTCACTAAGAGAATATAATGAAACAAATAAAAAAAGGATAATTAATTTTTTGTATTTATTTTAATTTTTTCAATAGTTTTTTCAATATCCTCTAAAAGCATAACAACGATTTCTAATTTATTTACATTAACGCTGTTCATTGTATTATTTATATAAAAATATTTTTCGGATATTTCTTCATTGTTAGAAGATAAAGACTCATCTTTTTGTTTGTCACGTAGCAACATTGCTTTTTCTATTTTAATTTGTTCATGAAAATATTTAATTTTGTTTTGTAAAAAACAACTAGAACTTTCGTCAAATTTTAAAATAAACTTATAAAAAGGATGGAAATTTTTATTTAATAAAATCATTTTAACTATATTTAATGCTACAGTAATTGATTCAATATATAAAATTACTGATTCTTCACTTATTAATGTAAAAACAATTTTTCTTATTTGATTACCTACCTTGTTTATATCTATTTCTTCTTTATCTAAACATTCAACATTTTCTTTTTTTTCCGATTTTTGTTCAAAAGATATTTCTGTATTATTAGTATTATGGTTACTATTGTCAGTTAACTCATATTCTTTTTTTTTTAATTTTTTGATTTCAATATTTTTAATTATATGGGACATTTGTTTAAACATCTCATCTTTAAAAAAAGATGAAATAGTGCTTTTAATTTTATCAGAATTAGATTCAACCAATAATTTACTATATAAAGAGTAAAAAATATCCCAATGAAAATTTCTCATAATATTACTAATACAATAATAAACAATTTTTGTATATGTTTTTAAGTTACTATTTTCATAAAGTATTTGATAAATTTTTTTAAGGAAATCATAAGGTCTCCATCTGAATTTATAAATATTACCGCAGTATTCATTAAACCTTTTTTTAATAATTTGAGATAAGATGGAACATACACATATGAAATGATATGCTTTAATGAGTAAATTATTTTTAATATGTTCTTTTGCTTTAGAAACACATAAAATTAAATTATAACTATTTCTTATCATTAAATTGAATAAATATAATTCTGAAAATACAAGAGGAAAACAACAATTATTTACTTTTTCTATTAAAATTAAATAACAAAGTATTGATATTTCTAAAGTTGAATTTTCTAAAACACATGTTTTTGTATTAGGTATTAAAATATTTACTCTTTCTAATGTTCTTGGTAAGTTAGGATTAATTATACTAAGTCTCCAAATTAAAGATGATAAGCAATCTTTAACTAAATTTTCATTTTTATTTTTATATAAATTTTTAGTAATATTCCAATATTCTTTTAAACATTCTCTATAATTAACATTTTCATAATTTATGTATTTAAATAATTTCTCAATATTTCTATTTAATGGAAGATCTACATTATGATAATTTATTATTCTCATAATAAAAGCAACTATGGAATATAAAGCTACATCTTGTCTATCATCATCTTGAGCTTTAATTGATTCATCACATAAAATATTAACAAATTTACACATGGATATTAATATATCTAAATTATTTATATTATCATTATAATATGGTTGACCTTCTATATTATAAAATTTTTCTAAAACAAGAGGAAGAATTTGAGCTATATATTTGGCTCTTTCTATTTTAATTTGATTTGCAATATTAGCAAAATATTCCAATGATAACAACTTGTACTGATAATTTATTTCAAGTTTGTGAAATATATTAATAAATAAAACATAGCCATTTTTTGGTAAAATGTTATTACTAACTACATACATTAATTTTAAATAATTTATATTTTTTGTGCAATTTCTAATCAATTCCCATCTAATATCTTTTACTACATATTTTTTCAATCTCTCATCTTTGATATTTATTCTATATTCAGGATAATATAAACCATTGTCATCCTTTTTTTCTACTTCTTCATTATAATTTTTGTTATCAATTTTATTGACATCCTGAATATAAACCAATAAATCTGCTAAATAATAACATATATTATTCTTAATATCACTTACATTTATATTATTTAAAATATATTCTACTATATTATTAGAATTTTTAATAGGATCTTCATCAATATAATTTTTTATAATCAACAAACATTTTTGAAAACTATAATGTTCTTCATGTAATGAAACCAAAATATCTTTTATCTCATTAGGTATACTATTTTTTTCATCCATTATTTTATGAATGTATTTATGTACTTAAAATATTTAAAAAAAAAAAAAAAAAAAAAAAAAAATTATTCAAATATTATTAAAGAAAAAATAACTTTACAAAATAATTGGAAGTAAATGTTACAATTTATTAGAATGAAAAAAAAAAAAAAAAAAAAAAAAGTTAAAATAAAATATATTTATTAAAACATACTAATATTTGATAAAATTAAAATTAAAGTTTAATTAAAATAGAATGTTATAAAAACAATTGAAATTAAATTATATTAAAATATACTTAAGAAAAAAATAATAACAAACGGAGCAGTTTTTATAAAACTAAAAAATATTTGTATTCTATAGATACCGTTTATCGGTAAAAAAAAAATAATATTTTTTTTTTAAAAGAAAAAAATATAGTTTATTATTTTTTTTTTTTTTTCACTAGTTCTTTTATTTTATTAATTTTTTAAAATCTTAAATTAATCTAAAGAATTTTATTTTTACATAAAAGATGAATGCATTATTTTATTAAAAAAAAAAAAAAAAAAAAGGAAAAAAATTTTATTTTATATGTTCATATTAATATATAGTATATTTTTGATTTACATTGGAATTTTCTTGAAAATATCTTTTAAAGAATAATTTAAAAAGTCATTTTTATAAGATTTTTTCCTTTTTTTTTGTAATGAAAATATATTTTATCATCAATTAATAATGTTAAATAATAAAACATATCTTCTACTTTTTTAGAGAAAAATGTTGATCTTTATATTTTAATTTAATAAATATTTTTTTTTGTAATAATAATAATAATAAAGACAATTTAAATTATTATTTATATGAGCATTTATTATAAATATCAGAAACATGTTATTTTAATAAAAACAAAGTAATATATATAAATATATATAATAAGTTAAAAATATAGAGCAAATACACATAAATAATAAATTTAAAAATGTATATAAAAAAAAAAAAAAAAAAGAATATATAAATGTAAAATATATAACAGTATATATCGGAAGAGGTGAAATACAAAAAGAGCTCATTTCTGTTACAAATGAAAAAAATCTGAAAATAGAAAAAGTTTATTTTTTATTTATTTTAGTTTTAATTTTTAAATACTTATTCTGATCTTGATAATTGTTTGTATTATTAGTTTTATTTATTAAATATTTGTTATTAAATTCTGATGGTAAATTAGGCCTTTTGTATTTTAAGTAATTAACGGAATTTGTTTGTTTAATTTCATTGGAGGGAGTATTATTGATATTATTTTTACTAATTTCTATTTTTACATGAGATTCAATATATGTTTTAAAATGTTCTGATAGAGACTTTATATCATATATATATTTTCCATTATCTTCAGATGATTTAATGAATTTATTCCACATTCCATCATAAAATGATAAAACAACATAATTATCATATTGAAATACTTTATGTTTTAATTGAATTTCTCCCATTATAAAACCACTTGATTTATGAATTGGTGTAGAAGGTAATGGATCAATAATTACTTTATAGTCTTTTAGAAGATATGGAATTATATATAGCTGCTTAAATTCTATGTTTTTTTCATAATTTAATTTTAGATAATTAAATATTTCTTCATAAGGAACTTTTGAATTATATTGATTATTTATTAACTTTATTTTATAATGATAATAAGAAGTATTCAATAAATAATGAAAATTTTTTAAAAAATTATCTGCTTCATTTTTATTATTGTTATTATTCGATAGTTTTTTTTTTATATTATTGTTGGATTCTAGAGAATTACAAGTAAAATTATTCAAATCAACACAATTAAATAAAACACTACACTTTAGTATTTCATATAATAATTCACATTGTTTTTTATTAAAAACTTTTATATCTTCTACAATTCTTTTAATAATAAAAAACCACGAAAGAGAACAAAAATAATTTGTTAATAAAAAACTATAAGATAAATATAATAATAATTTTTTATTACATGTAAGAATAATTTTATGAACATCAATAAATTTCCATAGTTTTAAATTTTTTCTACCACTAATACCAAGAGCCAGTGAAATATCAATTAAATAATTTGCATCTATATTAACAAAATTTTCATCTATATTTTTTTCATTTATATTATATTCACAACTAAAATTATCATTTATATTCATCAATTTTTCATTTATCACATTTTCTAAGTAAGTAAACATTTGTGTTGTATGATAAGGATATATGCTTAATGATAAAATTATGTTTGATATATTCTCTTTAGTTATTTTATTTTTATTCATTTTGATTTTCTGTTCAAACACACTTATTGTTTTATTTTTTATTCCTTCATTTTTAATGTATATTAGGTATAAATTAAAAATTGATTTAAATGATGAAATGTTATTAATATAATCATCACAAAATTTTATTAATTCATTCATAAAATAACTTCTTAAATTATCATAATTAATAATTTGATCATTCTTTTCATTTTTGCTATTATCGCTGCTATTTTCATTTCTTTCTACACTTTTATTATCATTAATTTCATTTATATATATTTGTTCATCATTTTTATTATTTGTAGTAGTATCATTATTCATGTTAATAGAAGATCTTTCCTCTTCGTTAAATGGCTCAATAATGCAATTTTCATTATTATAACCATTTTTGTTAAAAAAACCATTTTGGTTAGTTGTTTTCTTAGAATTATTAAATACATTTGAATCTTGTTTTTTTATAATATCCTTCGAATTTAAAATTTTATTTATTGTTTCATTTATATTTAAAAAAATTGTTGCAAGATTATCTGGAATAAATAGTTCCTTGTCATTTTTTATCTTATACATAATTTTATTAATGAATGCTATTTCATTAATATCATCTTTATTTATTTTTATAACACATTTTGATTTACTCAAATAATTTGTCAACAGTATTAAATTGTTCTCAGTCATATTATCCATATTGTAATATAATAATTCTAATATTTGTTCATTAAGCATTTCATTAGTGTTATTTATATAAATATTTAATATGAGTAATAAGGAATCAATTGAAAATTTATTTTTATTTTTTTCTATAAAATTTGTTATATTATACTGATAAAAAAAATTCATTTTGTTATGAAAATTTTGAATATATTTAAAAATCAACATAATTTCATTATTTTCCACAACATTATCCTTATCGTTAGTTTTTAAATTATTTAATTGTTTCAAAGGGACAAAATTATTGTTTTGTTCTTTATTTGTTTTAATACTTCTATTATTTTCATCACCATTGTTGTATATATTTAAAAATATATTACCACTTTCATTATTTAAATTTAATTCTGGATTTTCGTTATTAATTTTATTTAATTCATTGTTATTATACCAGTTTTTATGTTCGTTTGATGGATTTTCATACAAATTTTCTTTATGTTCATTATCATTAATAAAATCATTATTATTTAAATTAAACAAACTGTTAAATGTAAATTTATATTCTTCGTTCGTATTTTTATTATTTTCCAAGTTGGAGTTATCTTTATTTATAGATAAAAGAAAAGAATTAAAAAAATTATTCTCTCTATAAGATTTTTTCAATTTTTCATTAATAACTAAAATAAAATAATTATCTACTTCTTTTAAATAAAAATGCTTATAAAAAGATTGAATAATATAATATATTTGAACTGTTTTCAAATTATCTAATTTATCAATGCATAAATATAATCTTTCCATTAATAATTCTATTATATTTAAACTCAATGAATAATTAAGATAATAAAAATATTTGAATAAATCATAAATATTTTCTTCATTTATAAAACAAATGTAACTTTTTAAATAATTTTCTATATGCACAAAATATTCATCAAAATAGCTTTTTAATTTCTTTAAAGAATTTTTGTTATTTAAATAATCTACTACAATTAAATCATCTATATTTATAGAACTTTTTTTTAGAAATAAATTGCATAAATCTTTTAATACATTCAATATAATAATAATAGTCAAATTATCATTTTTTAATTTGTTCAATATTTTATTTATTTTTATTTTATCGCTTTCAGATTTATTCACAACACTTAAATAATCATGTAATTTGTTTATATATAAATTTGTGTTGTTAATGTTATTATTATTGTTATTAATTTTAATATGATTTTTGTTATATATATTATTTGTATTATTATTTAACTTATTATGAAGGTTATCTCTGCTTCCCAAAGTTTCCGATGATATTTTTGTTAATTTAGAATTACTCATATTATTTGTATAATTTCTCTTAACATTGTGCTTATCAGAGTAATTGTTATTATTATTAGTTAGTTTATTATCTTTTTTATTTTTTGTATTTATGTTAATTTTTAAATTATTTTTACTAATTTTTGTGCTTGAAAGATATGTTTTATTATCATTAATTTTAGAAATATTTTTTAATTCATGATTTTCATTTTTTTCAACTTCAGGTTTCTTGAATCTTTTTACTTGATGAAAAAGGATTAACTTCCGTTCTAATTTAACAAAGAATTTTCTTGATGACATCATGTTATTTCTTCTTATTTTAGAAAAAAAAAGTAAAATATAAATAAATGAATAAAAAGGAAAAACTTCTACAATTTTTAATGAAATTAAAATGAAATAAAAAATAAAATATATTTGATTATATTGTCAAAAAAAATTCTAAATTTAAAGTATATTTACATTTTTTCTACAAAAATAATAAAACATGAAAAAAACAAAAAAAGATATATATCAAATGCATGAAAATATTGATGTGAACTATTTATTAAACATATAAAAATAACAAAAATACATATAAAATAATTCACGCAGAATAAAGAAAAATAAAATTAACAAAAATAAATTTCTAAAAATAAATGTAGAATAAAACAGGAGATTATTTCTTTAAGAACTTTTATTATAAAAGAAAAAAAATGGCTCATTAGAAAAAAAAAAAAAAAAATACATATACATATATTTTTTTTTTTAAGTAATTATTCAGATAAAAATATTACAAATAATTACAGAAATGCCAATTGTAAAATATATTTTCTTATATAAACATAATTTGATGTTTAAATAAAAAAACATGAATTACATTATTAAGAAATGCACTATTTTCTTTATTACATATATATATATAAATTTAATATTTTTATTTTAAAATATATGTAATGATATTTTTTATCATTTATAAAAAAAAAAAAAAAAAGAAACATTAAATTTATTTATTCGTTATATATTTTATATGTATTCATTTTATTTATTTTTTTTTTTTTTTTTTTTTTTTTTTTTAATGTAAAATTAATAAAAATGAGTTCAAAGATATGGAAAGTTATACTAAAAGATGATGTAAAAAAATTTGAAAATTGTATCAAATCAGAAAAAAATATTGACTTAAATAATTATAATAAAGATGGTTTAACTATATTATTATATGGTATAGAAAAAGGATGTGCAGAATGCTGTTACTATTTAATAAATCAAAAAAACGTGGATGTATTTTTAGAAGATAAAAAGGAAAATGAAAATGCTTTGATGAAATCCATGAGAATTGGTTATGAAATGATTAATGTTAGCAAATTGTTAATTGAAAAAAAAGTGATTATAAATGAAAAAAATAAAAGTGGAAAAACTAGCTTACACATAGCTAGTGAAAATAATTACTTAAAAGGTATAGAGTTGTTATTAAAAAACAATGCTGATATAAATGCAGTCGATAATCAGAATAACACACCATTAATGAGTTCTATTAAAAGAAATAACGAAGAGTCAGCCTTCTTATTAATTGATAATAATGCAGATGTAAATATAAAGGATAATGATATGAACAGTGTTTTGCACATATGTGCAAAAGAGCATTTATCTAATGTAGCTCAATATATTTTATCGACCAATAAAGTGAATATCGAAAACTGTTTGGATAAAGATAATAATTCTCCTCTACATATAGCAGCAAAAGAAAACTTAAAAAGTCTTTGTAATTTATTTTTAAGCTATAATTTTGATGGATTATTAAAAAATAACAAAAATGAAACATATAATGATATTTTAAAAAAGCATGAAATGAATGCTATCCTAAAAGAGGAAGAAAAAAAAAAAAATTATGAAGAAAAAGAAATAAGGAGGAGAAAATTATATGAAGAAACCATGTTAAAAACAGAAGTATCCAATTTTCTTATGAATTATAATTTAGAATCTTTTATACCACATTTTTACAAATATAATTATATATATGTTGATGGTGCTTTTTTAGAGATAGAAGATTCTACATTAAAAAAAATGAACTTCAATAGGGATGAAAGAAAAAAATTTTATGATGCTATTGAACAATTTTATAAAGAAAAAGAAGATCAAGAAAATGAAGCAGAATTAAGAAATCAACAATTGCTAGAAGAACAGAATAGAACAAAAAACTTAAAATATGTTTCATATGTAATTTTTTTAATATTTACTTCTATATTTATATATAGTTTATTTATATCTATAACTAACAGAGCTAAAATTTTTTTTTAAAAAATATACTTCTATAATAAAAAAAGAACTTTTATTTGAATGAACCAGTGAAAAAATAAAAAGTTATATTGAGTTATTCAGCATTCATTAACATATCTTGTTCCACTGCGTAACATATTTTTAAAAGAAGCTTATTTTTTTCTATATCATTTTTTCTTTTTTGTAATTTTTTTTATTTAAGCATTTTTTTTGTTAAAAAATCAATACAATAATATCTTATTATTTTTTTAACTTAAATTTTATTTTTTTATAAAATTAAAATTTATAAAAATTTTTCTCATGTTATATATTACCATGAAACTATTTTATGTCCATATTTAATTTCTTAAATACTTAATAAAATTTAGATTGTGAATATAATATTTTCTTTTTTTTTTTTTAATTATTAGACTTTATTTTTCATTTTATCTAATAAAATACATTTTTGTTCTCTTTTTCAAAAAACAGACAAAAAAAAAAGTATATTAGAACTATATTGTCATTTTTTCACTTTCTTTTCTTATCTCTCTAGTATAATTTATTATATGTAAATAATTATAAAAAAAAGAATGTCTAATAATGAAATTAAAAGAAAGTTAAATTTAAAGAATTATTTTTTAATATATAAAAAAATTTTTTTTTTTTTTTACGTATTCCATATACACAAATTAATTAAAACAAAAAATTATAAAAAATACAGTACTTTAAAATCTATAATTTTATTTTACTAAAGCCTTGATGATTTTTTTTAAGAACTTATAAACTTTATTATCATTAAAAATATAATAAAAAAAAAAAAAAAAGAATGTTCTCTTTTTAAATATATGTAAAACTTACATATTTTTTATTCCTTTATTTTAACGAAGGCAAAAAACATTTTTTTTAATCAATATACACATATATATAATATATAAATATGGATATATTTCCTTTTTTTTTTTTTTTTTTTTTTTTTTTTTTTTTTTTTTTGTTTATATTAAATATTTATGTAATTTTATTTGAATTAAAAATGACATAACTAAATATTTTTTATTATTACAACTTTATTATTAAAAACTTATGGTAAATATTGAAATTATGAGAATTAAGCTTTAAGTGATTAAAGCTTATATAAATTCTCTTACATTTTTTTTTTTTTTATTCATATATATTTTTTTATTTATGCTATATCATTATTATTTTTTATTATTCTTTTATAAGTATATATATATATATATATATATATATATTTTTTTTGTTATATTTTCTTTTATATTATTTTTTTTTTCTATTGTATGTATATCAAATATATTTAAAGATAAATTATAACCCTTTGTTATATCTAAAGATTTTCTAAAATATACATTTTTATTTTTTATTATATTTCATTATTATTTTCTATTTTTTTTTTTTTTTTTTTTTTTTAAAGC